GAGTGTTATAAAGTACTGTAGTATGTTACTCGTATTCCTTAACATTATGTTTTCTCTCATCATGTCAATACTAGGTTAATAAACAAAGACATGCTTACAATTGGATTGATGCTATTCTGCTTATCTTTTGCTCTGCCAGGGTTTTGTCATGAATTTGCAGCCATCTGAAGCTGAAGCTGGATTTGATATTCGGGTGCCACCTACTGCTGATCCAGAATCATTGGAGAGGCGCATTGCTGAAGAATGGGCACCTTCATCCCGCAATATGTCGTTCTATGTAATTAGCTAATTATCCAGTGTTTGCTCTGTGTTTATCTTCCATCTAGTATGATTGTTAAATACACCCTGCTTATGGTAGACTCACTGCTTTACCTTTATTTTAGTTTTTGCTTTTCACAATAGAAAATTTCACCCATGGGAACTTTCTTCCTTTCTTTGAACTTACATCTGCACTAGAACATGTCCGATTATGGCCATCATCTTCTGCAATTTTAATTATCCTTTCAATGAGAAAAAAACTTAATGTCATGGTGATGCTGTCAAGGGTCAAGTGTTTAGATCTAGAACAAAGAAAACAAAGGATAGAAAAGGGTTGAAATTTCCATCTGTTCTAGCTAGTACTAAGCTAAGGTTATATAGAAAAAAAAAAACTTAATTGTTAAGAAGCTTATTAGAAGCATGTATTTTCTTAAATAATTGTTAGTTCTCAATTCTGCAGTAAATATAACCTAAAAGCCTATAAATAAGTTAAAAACTACAAAGATTTTCTTGCTTTGCTACAAATAGTAGATAAGCCTCTATTTTCATCACCAAGTCCAAGTATCTACCAAGCACTTGCTAAAGATAGATTTGTGTCCTCTTAGTCTCTTACTGCTTTGAATGGTTGGATATTCTGGTAATTATTAATTAACCATTCTTTTTTTGTGGTTTGTGTCTAACAAAGTATGATATATACTGTTTATCATAAGGTCTGTTGTGTCAGTTGGTTTGATTTTGTTCTGGTCATTACTTTCTGAATGTTTGGAGCTTTTTCTTGGTGAAGGTGCCTTCCTATTTTGGTTTGTGTACATGTGTAGAGTGTGGGAGTGGATGCATGTTTGAGATGGCTGTAATCTGTAATGGCACAATTGTTTGTTTGTTAGCAGTGCATTCTGTGAACAATACTTGCATAGTAAAGCTAATGCTAAAAAAAAATGAAATGAAATGTGTTGAAGTAGGTAAATTAATTGATTCTGTTAGTATTCAAACAAAACAAAGGGTGGGAGATGTTAAGCTTTTGTTTGGGGCATTAATCCTAGTTAGGTTTTATGAATTGAAGTACAAATAATTAAAAAATGGGTGTTAAAATATTAACATCCCAGATTGACCTACCTTTATATAAATACTATGTGATGGTAATGAAATGGATAAATATTGTTTTGTAATAAACTGATTTCAGAAGAATGGTTGGAAACTGACATTCTGTTTTCTTAATTGATGGTATACTTTTGGTCAAATTCTTGTCTGCATACAACATGATTAATTATTTGAAGAATTTACTCCTTTTGAGGATAAATCATCCCCTAAATAGATTCTGCATCTAATTTCTTTTAGCTTGGGCAGTTCAAACAGAAGACACCTGTGCATGATAAGTCTGGGAAACCACTGCTTACTAAAACTGATGGTTCCAATCCCTGGTGGGGCCTTCTTGAAAATGCTGTCCAAAAGGCTGGTGGGAAACTTGGTGAGCCAGAGGTCTTTCCTGCTGCTACAGATTCCCGCTACTTCCGACAACTTGGATTACCAGCAATTGGATTCTCACCTATGGCAAACACTCCTGTTCTACTCCATGACCACAACGAGGTGATTTTCTTAATTTATTGTATGCATAATTGGTCTTGTTAGTAAGCTTATTTGCACAAGAGATGTCACTGTCCTTAGAGTCATATATCTGATTTGTTATTTAGAACCGAGGCTTGCAATAAGTCCTAATTAAGATAAGACCTTCTTGAAGAAGCATTCCATTAGTTCTAAGGATGGCAAACAAAATTCGTACCCACATAAAATCCGTTATGAATTATAAATAGACAATTAAATGGGTATCCATTTAATAAGGGGACGGAGACGACGGGTACTAAGATATCTATATCTGATGGTTCTTGTATTTTTAAAATATTAAAAATACTTTTAATTATGTATAAAGTAATTTAATTCAATTCATTTTTACTATAAATATATATGTAATAATTATTTATTTTTAGCACACATATATGTTACAAAATTATAATTTAGTATAAATATATGTTTTAAAATTATTTATTTTTGGTTCTATTTTATTTCTTACCTTTTTATCTAAAACTTTATATTTTAACAAATATTCATAGATAACTGTGGATACCTGTGAATATATAAAAAATTAATGAATGTTCGTTAAATGGGTACCGAAATAAATAGGGTATGTGATGGACGCCTACCATATCTCTCATCCCATTGCCATTCCTAATTAGCTCAGTCATAGCTAAAACAATGTAATCATGGACAACATATTTTCAGGTTGATTTTACAATTAGTTTATTCCTATGTTTTTTCTTAATACAGTTGTTGACATCCTTGAGTTGACTTTATCTTATGCTATGGCTTATTTGCCAAGCCAGAGATTAGTCTGTTGAAAAGAATAGTGTCACAATAAACATACAGGAGCCAATAAATATATAATTACTTTGATTTTGTGTTAGTTTTGACTTCTGAGGAATGTTATAAGACTTGTTTTAGGCTGGTAGTTTTCTAGTGGTAGAGGGTAGTACCAAAACATTGTCTTTCAAAAAAAAAAAAAAACTCTTTTGTTTAGATAAATTCTCGGGTAGTTTTCTAGTGGTAGAGGGTAGTACCAAAACATTGTCTTTGAAAAAAAAAAAAACTCTTTTGTTTGGATAAATTCTCTTGCAGAGCGCTAATTGGCTCTTTATTTTTATTTTTATTCTTTTATTTACTTTTTGGGGTATAAAATTGGACTAATGTTCCTCTATCTCATTTCTTTGCAAGCATCTCTAATTTTACTGGAATTGTATTTAGTTTGGAGTCAATCATTTCTTTGCAAGCATCTCTAATTTCACTGGAACTGTATTTAGTTTGGAGTTCAATTTTGACTCGAACATTGTTTCTCCTTTATGCAGTTTCTGCACAAAGATGAATACTTGAAAGGTATTAAAATCTACGAGTCAATAATAAAGAAATATGCATCCTTTGATGGTCAAGAAAGAGGAGAATTCAGAGATGAGTTATGAGCAAATCGTGCGGCACCTACCCCTTCCTAAATGTCTACTTCTTTCCTTTTCTCGATGTAACAATAAATAGGAAAAAGAGTATTCGGGCTGACTCTGACATGTAACAATAAAGACTTGACATGTAACAATAAAGACGAAATAAACGAGTATGATACAAACTTTGATCAGAGCAACTTAGCCATTACATCAATGCTTTCATAAATGATTTTAATATACATATCGGTATAAAAAATCACTCTTATGTTTGATTGTGTTAATTGGTTAGTTTGTTTCTGAAAGGTGCTGTATGTTAATAAATTAATGATGAAATAAAAAATCCCTAAGGGCTACAATATAGTATTATCAAAACTAAACATAGTGTACATCACTAATAAAAACTCTATTCTATTGTTCGAAAAGTAGACAGAAAAATTGAATTAATTTTATTATTATTTTACTCTATATCATATCACAAATACACGTATACTATATTTAATTCACAATAAAAGAGAAACAATTACTATGACATTGGTGTGTTATTGAGGCTAAAGTATACTATATTTAATTTGCAATAAAAGAGAAACAATTACTACGTCATTGGTGTGTTTATTGAGGTTAATGTATTTATTGCTGGATTGCACGAATCAATTTTTCATGTTCAATGTAGCCGAAATAAGTTGTCATGTTCAATGTTGCTGAAATAAGTTGGCAGAAACAGGGTAGAGACAGACACAGACACAAACATTGGTTTACAAAAGCAGCAGCATCATCTTGAATTAATGAATACACACGTTAATATGTTTTTCCTTGGTTAAAGTTCAAGTAGCATTAATTGAATATTATAATGAAATTTTCTAGATCGAGATATGTGATCAATTATTTCGATCTGATTGCAGTATTGTAGTAGCAGAACATACAAAAAAGAAATTGCTATGTTATAGATACTTAACATGTGTGTTAAAAATTCTCTCTCTCATATTGCTGTTTAAGTTGATTATCTTGTGTTGCGTCAGGTATTGTAAATATATTGGTCAGGATTTTCATTCCTAAACTAGCACGATGACGTGCATATTGTTTTCACAAATGCTTGAAATATATTTATTTATTAAATACTTATTTTTTAAATTAAGATACAAATAATATTTTTTACATATTTAATATGAAATAATATTTTACACGGTAGTGTTTTTAGTTCCTTTTCATAGACAAGAGGTTATTTAGAAATTCTTTTAACTACATATCTAATTTACTTTTTATTTATTATAATTATTTATGAATTAAGTTTTTAAAAATTATTGATAAATAAAAGATTCTCTTGTTATAATATAAATTATTTATTATAAATTTAAAATATAATTTACATCTTTAAAAATATCTATTTATTCAAATTTTTAAGTATAACTTATATATTCAAACATAATATGTATTTGTGTATATAATTTATTATAAATTTTAGTTATATATAATAAAATACTAGTTAATTATTTAAATTAACAAAAAATGCAAAAAGTTAGAGTATTCAAGCAAAATAAATTCAATCAAAACTCAACATGTTAGACTATTTAAATTTGTGTGGTCAAAATTGGATCGAATCTGTCAATTTGACCAGTCGAACAAAAAATCGGTTAGTCTGCTAATTTGAAAGAACCACAAAATTGGACTATGAAAGAATTGGATTAATCGACTAAAAATCAATGAAGAACCGGTCTAAATTACTAGGTTGAAGCTATCCTTTTTTAAAAAAATATTTTTATTTTTTAAAATTATTTGAAATTTTTTATGATAAATACATAACTATATTTAATAAAAATTATAAATTTGAATAAATTATGTTATTTATTATTTTTAATAATTTTCTTATAAAGATATAGTTTAGTAATTTATATTAAATTATAATTTTTTATATCATGATATTTTATATCTTATATTATATTAATTTGATATTTTTCTAAATGTAAAATTAATATATATTTTTATATTTTATTAAAATTTGAACTTAAATATTATATTTAGACTTTTACATGTATCCTAAAAATAAAAATATATAAAATAATATTATTTTAATTTTAGTATTATAAAATTATGATATTATATTTATATAATATTATTTAAATATTATTATTATCTTATTAATATCATTTAATCATGGTACAACCTTGAATTAGAATAGTTCGATAATTTGTCTAATTTTAAAATTATTTATTTAAATCGTTGTTTCATTGTAAGATTCTTAATAAATAAGAATGTGGATTAGAATAAATGAGGATATATTTTAGCCCTTACATTACATGAGTATAATTTTAATAAAATATGCATAAAATTTTAATGTTTAAAATTTAAATAACTTTTTTTTATCATTATTGAATATTAGAAGAATTAATAAATAGTAATTGAGTACTATAGTAAAATAAAAACAAATACATATATTAACTGTAAACTTATTTAAAAATTAATAATAGGAATTGATTTTATATCAACTGAATTCTTTTTATTTATGTTTTTAATATTTAAGACTTTAATTTTCTTTAATTTAAATAGAAAATATTTAAATTTTATGTATTCTTCAGTTGTAAAATTGTAAATTATTCGTCTCCACAAAAAAAATCACATCTCATTTATAACATAAAACCATTAACATCTCAAAATAATTTATTATTTAAATTATATATATAAAATATTTTTTTTATTAAATTGCATATATTATAAGTTATGCTTAACTAAAACACTTCATTAATTGTAATTTAGTATTGTATGTAGGAATGACAATGAATTTCGTGGAGTAGGTTATTGACTCTTTTTTTCCTCTTTTATCGGATAAAAAATTGTCTCATACCCATTTCATATCTGTGCAAGTATCTGTTAGGTGGATATTCATGAATTTTATATGTATCCATGAATATCTATTAATATCAATGGATGATATTTGTGAAATTTTTTTCAATAAATTAAAATTAAAAAGTTTTAAAAATAATTTTAAGGTTGCATTTAAGGATATTGAAATATTAAAGTTAATCAATTGATATTATTTTTGAGTTTGCATTTAATATTAATTTTGTTAAAATAAAAAAAGATAAAAAAATAACTTGAAATACATTAATCTCACAAGTTCAAATGAAAATCTCAATACACAAAGTTAAAATAATAGACATTCAAAGAAAGTTTGGGTGATTTATAATTATTTACTTATACATGTATGTTATTTACTTATCCACACACATGTACACATAGTGAGAGAGGAGCGATCTACTTACTTAGAGAGTAAATCTTGATAGATTTTACTTAATAACTCACATTCTACATCAAATTTCAACAATTCAATTGTTAAATTAAAAAAATATCTTAATGCATAGATCAATTCTACAATTTTTTTAAAAAATTTGAGGGATCCCTCCTCATGTATATGTATGAATTAGGATCCGTTAACATCGTATGTAAGTCTAAAGATTTATACCAAATCTTATACCTTCAATAAATTTTTTGTACAATGTGAATTTTGCTAAGCCAATACCATTGAATTATGTGATATGTTCCTTAAGATTATGTATAACAAATTTCAATGACTCTGAAATTATTTAATAGTTCTTGAAATTATTTTAACATATAATATAATATTTAAAAGATGTGTAAATATCTATTTTTAGATAACATATAAAAAAGTTCAAATCCGGTTAAATTTGACATACATATCTTGAGTATAATATCACATAATTTTTTGGTTGTATTAGTTAAACTTGAATTATATGTCTGTAGAGAGAAAGTCAGGATTCATTAATCAAGGTTATGTCTAAAAACTTAACACTAAATCTTATATCTTCAATAAATTTTTGTATAATTCAAGTTTAATTGATTCAACCATTGAATTATGTGATAACATGAGGTATACGTCTAAAAACTTATACTTAATCTTATATCTTCAATAACTTTTTTTTACTATTCAAGTTTAATTGGTCTAACTGTTAAATTATATGATATTATTTACATATAAAAAATATTTATGTAATGTTACTTAATGAGTAACCATGAGTATGAATGCTAACATACTCATAGATGCATTTTTTTTTCTCATCCCTAATTGTATGTATTTTTTTTAATATTTTTTTAAATCAAATGAACAATGTACTATTTAACAAGTAATAACTAAATATAAAAATGATATATATATTTTGTCTTTAAAATCCAAATGTTATCTCTCTATATATATATATAAATAATTTTTATATTTATTTCAATATTTTTAACTCTTATATCTTTTAATACATCATTTTCATATTTATTTCAACATTTTTAAACCTCCTATCTCTTTAAGTATATTATTTTTTATATTCATTTCAATATTTTTTTTTGAAAATGATTATCAATAATTTTGTATCACAATATAAATTATTTATAATAAATTAAAATATAATGTTCAAAATTATTTATTTATTATAAGTTTTAATTTTGATGTATACATCAAAAACTTTAAATTTAACAATTATATTATTAAAAATTCATATAAAATATGAGTTATTGGGTGAAATAAGTCTCTTTTAGAGTGAATAGATCACACACATAAACATGCACACAACCCACACAAACTTTCATAACTTATCTAGCCACATAAGTCTATCAAATCTTTGAACATCGAAAGCTCATAAAACAAAAATAAAATTTTGATGGCATGACATTAATTAGTAGTTACCAACTATATTATGTTACCTTTCTGTAAATAAATAAGACACACACACACATATATATATATATATATAGTCACCTAATTCATTAAATTTTTATTAAAAATATTTTTTAATTTCTATAAATTTTTATAAAATAATAAATAATTTTTTTTAACGTTTCATATAGCTAAATTAATTTATAACTAGCATTTTAGTTTGTGAAATATACAAGATAATTATTTGTTTTTATATAACTAAAGTTATAGTAAATAAATATTGATAATTATATATTGTATTTGGTTTAGAGTTTAAGGTTTTGGATTTACTCTTGCTCCTCCTAAATCCTTGATTGGTGAAGTATTGATCTATTTTGTTATACCATGTCGAGGAGTTTGCTTCAAGCTGTACAAGGCTTTTCTCAGGCTTAACATTTTGTCATCATTGCCTTTGTTGATGAAGCCTTGTGGTTGCTCAATATAAATCTCTTCTTCAAGCACTCCATTTAGAAAGGCATATTTGGAATTCAGTTGGTAGATGTTCCATCTTTTTTGTGTTGCAAGAACTATTAAACTTGTAATT